AAACCAAGCTATTCTTTGAAAGAATAGATGAAAACTTACTTTATGTACCTCTTCACTTCCCATTTATTCTTCAAATCCTTGCCTTTTGTTATTTATTTATTTATTTTTGTACTGGGGATTGAACTCAGGGGCACTTTGTCACTGAGCCACATCTCCAACCCAAATTTGTAATTTTATTTAGAGATAGGGTCTCACTGAGTTGCTTAGCGCCTCGCTTTTGCTGAGGCTGGCTTTGAACTTGCCATCTTTCTGCCTCAGCCTCTGGAACTGCTAGGATTACAGATAGGCGCCGCTGTGCCTGGCCCTGCCTTTATTTTTTACATTAATTTTCTTAGTTTCTTCCTTCCTTTCTTCCTTTCAACCTTTATTCCTTTCTTTCTAGATATTGTCTTGCTAAGTTGCCCAGGGTGGTCTCGAATTCCTGATACTCCTGCCTCAGCCTCCTGAGTAGCTGAGACTACAGGTGTGCACCATTTTCAAGTCCCTGCCTTCTCTCTTTGCTCCTGCCAGTCAAACAAAACTGTCAAAGATCATGGATGACCAAATTTCCACATCCAGTGACTCTCCCATTTTCATTTTCTTGGAAGTTGTATGTTTGACACATTTGTTTACTATCTTCTTATTGAAGTGCCTCCCTGACTTTTGTGATCATACTCATTCCTGGTTTATTTTCTACCTTTTTGACTATTCTTGTATTGTGCTAAGGGGTTTTCGCTGCCAGCTTTTCATCATTTGGCCACTCTTTAAATGTTAGTTTTGTCCTGAATTCTAAAAATATTTCCCTTAAAAATTATACCAGTATTTCTCAATCTGTTTTGCATCCCTTCTCTCCTTTATTGAAAGGAGATAAATAACAGTTTCTCTGGCTCTTATAGGTGTTGGTGGATTAGTGTTGGGGCATGATTCTCTTCTGCACCAGCACTGAGAATGGTTGCTACAAAGAAGATTGAAGATTTAAGTGAACATTGCTTTTTTTAAAAAAATTTATTTATTATAATTTATTTTTGTGGTGCTGGGGATTGAACCTAGGGCCTGTGCATGCGAGTCAAGCACTCTACCAACTGAGCTATATCCCCAGCCCGAATTTTGCTTTTTTTTATTTTGTAATCTGAAAACAATAGGTGATTTTCCTTTTCCAATTATAAAACTGTATATTTGTGATATATACATATATGTTTACATATTTGTTCATTTATTTTGATTCCTGGCTCATAACTTCCTCCTCAAAGAGGATCATAGAAACTTTTCCTTTTCCTTTTCCTTGCCTTTCTGTCTTTGAGCTGACAATAAAGAAATTATTTGACCTGCCTTTGACAGATAGATCCATCCTCCCTCCAGAAGATTCTTGTCCTGGGCTGGGGTTGTGGCTTAGTGGTTGAACGCCTGCCTAGCACGCATGAAGCCCTGGGTTCAGTCCCCAGCACCATATAAAAATAAGTAAAATAAAGGTATTGTATCCATCTACAACTAAAAAAAAAAAAAAATTCTTGTCCTGTACCCAGGCAGAAGGAATGCTGCACAGAGAGATCAAGAAGAATTTGACCAGACACACCTTGTCTGGTTTCTACACCCAGTCTGTCTATAAGCATTAGATCATAACCTTTTTGTCCAATTACATTTCTGCATAGTTAACTGTGGTTCAATCATGCCTTGCCATGAAGTCTTCATAGAAACCTGAAAGGATAGGGTTTTGAGAACATCTCGATAGCTGAACATATGGAGATTCCAGGAAAGTGGGGGCACTTGGAGAAGGAATGTAAGTTCCGAGCCTATTCTCTCATTCTTTGTCCAGTGCATTTCTTTGTCTGTATTCTTAGCCTTTATAATAAACAGATAAATGTTTTTCCCTGAGTTCTGTAAGCCACTTGAGAAAATTAATTGAACACAAGGAGGAGGTTGTGGGAACCCTGATTATATAGACGATTGGTCAAAAGCACCTGTGGAACAACGTAGGCCTTTGGACTGGCCTCTAAAGTGAGGGAGTGTGAGGGACAACAGTTTTAAGACTTGAGTCTTCAAACTATGGGATCTGATACTATCTCCAGATTGTGTCAGAACTGAATTAGATTAGAGGACACTCAGCTGTATCTGCTGCTGGAGAATTGAATGCTGGCTTGTGTGTGTGTGGAACCCCCCCATATATCTAGTGTCAGAAGTCTTGGTTGATAGATAAGTAGAGGAAAAACAAACAAGATACTTAGTTGTGTTTTTTTTTTTTTTTTTTTTTCCCAGAGTATTCAGTATCCTTTTTTAAACTATTGTCCTGCTGGGCTTGGTGGTGCAAACCTGTAATTCTAGCAACTCAGGAGACTGACAGAAGGATCACAAGTGCAAGGGTAGCCTAGGCAATTTAGCAAGACCCTGTCTAAAAAAAAGGGGGGGGGGGGCTGGGGATGTAGCTCAGTAGTAGAGCAACCCCAGCATTCAATACTATCACAAAATAAATAAAGAACAAACTAAAAATCTAGCATACTAATCGTCACATGAAAGTAGTATGTTACAATTGAGAACTGCCTTTGACCTTAAATTTGTTAACATTGCCTATTTTCCCCTATTGCTAATTAACTGAACCTCTTTTACTGGATGCATTTGTCCCCTCTTACATACAGCTTTGCTTTTGATAGCTCCACTTACCTGTGGTCAGCTGCAGTCCAAAAATATCAAATGAAATCTCAACACATCCTACTCTATCCTGCTCAGGAAGTTAATTATCCCGTTGTGACCAGTGCATCTCTTTGTCTGTATCCTTTGTAATAGCCTTTATAATAAACAGATAAATGTTTTTCTTGTCCTGTACCCAGGAAGAAGGAATGCTGCACAGAGAGGCCAAGAAGAATCTGAACAGACTTTGTATTTATTGCCCTATTTGCAAGTCATTTATTAGCCTTCTTGGTTATCAGACCAATTATCTCCCTATCACATTGCTTGCATTAAGGTTAACCTTGTTTTACTTAAAAATGGCTCCAAGTGCAAGAGTAATGATTCTGGCAAAGAGAAGCCATGAATTTAAGTGAAAAGTAAAAGGTTTCAATATGGAAAGGAAAAACAATCATATACTGAGATTGCTAAGATTTATATACAGTAAGAATGAAGTAGTGTATATAGGATTTGGTACTACCTGTGGTTTTTGTTATCTCTGGAGAGTTTTGGAATGTAATACTTGTGGATAAGGGAGGTTTATAGTTTTTGAGATCTAAATCAGTCTGTGTTTGTTAGTTTAGAAAAGAAAGCAAAGTTGTTCGGGAAACTTAAGAATGCCACAATATGATTTATATATGGTGTGAAATATGATTTATATTTTTGTTACTGGGGATTGAACCCAGGGACCCTTTACCATAGAGCTACATCCTCAGCTTTTTTTATTTTTAATTTTGAGACAAGGTCTCACTAAGTTGCTGAGGGTCTCGCTGAGTTGCTGAGGCTGACCTCAAACTTTTGATCCTCTTGTCTCAGCTTCCCAAGTTGTTGGAATTGTAGGCATCCCGCACCACACCCAGCATGAAACTATTCAAGTATTTGATAGCTGCCAGGTCCATATGATAAAGTAAGAGTTGTGATTGTATTGATTATGGTACAAATTAGGATGCCTAGTGAAGTGATTCAGATTAAAATGGTTTACATAACGTCTAGTGGTAAGTGTTCCAAGAGATTCAGGTTCACATGATCATTCAGGGACCCAAGTTGCTTCTGGTTGCTTTACTCATCCCTAGAGTGGTATCCTTATTTGAATATCAAAGCTAGGTCACTGCCATGTTCAGGTTCTAAATCACAGAATAAAATCCTCAGTCTTAAAGGAGAGACCTACAATTACACTTGTAACTTCTCATTCTCTGGTTCAGGCTTATAGTACATTAAACTACAGAGAAGACTGGTACATGTGGTCTGTAACTCTGTGGCCTTGGGGCTACGTAAAAATTCAGGAGGTGCACACTTGTAATCCCAGGGGCTCTGGGGGCTGAGGCAGGAGGATTGAGAGTTCAAAGCCAGCCTCAGCAACAGCAAGGCGCTAAGCAACTCCGTGAGACCCTGTTTCTAAATAAAATACAAAATAGGGCTGGGGATGTGGCTCAGTGGTCAAGTGTCCCTGAATTCAATCCCCAGTACAAAAAAAAAAAAAAATTTTAGGGCTGGGGATGTGGCTTAAGCAGTAGCGCGCTCGCCTGGCATGCGTGCGGCCCTGGTTCGATCCTCAGCACCACATACAAGCAAAAGATGTTGTATCCACCAAAAAAAAAAAAAAATTTTAGGAGGCCTGGACTGGGGATGCAGCTCAGTAATAGAGTGCCTGTCTAGCATTTGTTTGTATTTGGGCACATTACTTTAATTTTATTTATTTTATTTTTATGTGGTACTGAGGATCAAACCCAGGGCCTCACACTTGCTAGGCGAGTGCTCTACCACTGAGCCACAACCCCAGCCCAAAAGAAGTCTTTATTATATAAGAGGAACATTGTGTGTGTGTGTGTGTGTGTGTGTGTGTGTTGGGGTTACCTAGATTATCTAGAGATTATTTGTTACTTAGGTGGATTGCTAGTACTAACCTCAGTACTGGGTGGATGGGGGAATGCCTTTTTTTTTTTTCTGTGGTGCTGGGGATTGAACCCAGGGCCTTGTGCATGCAAGGCAAGCACTCTAGCAGCTAGCTATATCACCATTTTATGTAAATTAAGCACTTCATTTCTTTCTTTTTTTTTTCCTATAGTGGGGATGGAACTGGAACCTTTGGCCTTATACATGCCAGGCAAGTGTAGTGCCACTGAGCTACATCCCTAACCCTTTTGAAAATTTTTATTTTTAGATAGGGTCTCTCTAAGCTACCCAGGCTGGCCTCCGAAGCAGCTGGGATTACAGGTAGGCATTACAAACAGTTAACATTTTTAAAGGTTTCTGGAAAGAAATGTCTGAGACAACTTTTAGTTTGATATTTGCGTAATCAGAATCAATGAGAAAACGTATTGGCATGTAATAAACTTTAAACTGAAACCCTTTTATGTTTTTAGGTTTTACACATCTGCAAGTAGACCTCTTAGGAGCTCTGTTGGCCAATCCAATGGCGTCCTCAACTACCATGCCTCTAGGATTTCACTATGAAACAAAGTATGTTGTTCTCACCTACTTGGGACTCCCTCAAGAGAAGTATCAAGAGCAACATCTTCTCTCATCCCAAGGTATTATCTTTAGCTTTTTGTGGTTATATTAAATCACAATAAGGATTTCATATATAGAAATATTTGTAGCAAAATTATTTATACATATGATTATAAGATCAAATGATACAATATGAAGAATAACTCTTGGCAAATACAGAAAGGATTATAGTAGCCACAGGGATTCAGGAGGCTAAACTAAGAGCAAAGGCAAAGAACAAATACAATGGCAAGAGTCATAGCTGGAGGTCAGATAATATCATGAACCGACCAAAGAACTTGTTCACAGTGTAGAATTTTCAAAATTGCAGAACTTATTTTAGGCCAGGGTCTGGGTAGGTGACTATCTCAAAGTGTCAGTTTGAAATGGACCATGCATCATTGTCATGGGCAGGAGAAACCAGGCTGAGCTGAAGCCTGAGGACAAAGTATTGGAGGTTCATTGATGTGACAATTTTCCTGGGCAAGAATCATGATGAGTTACCAAGTGACAGGGTCCGTGTGCCACTGACCAGTCTTGGGGTGGGGGCTCCTCTTTTAATGGGTCTCAGTTGAGTGGTTTGCTTCTTTTGGTGGTCTGATATATTTGATAAGCTCATGGTTCTAGTTTTTCTGACATGGTGTTGATATGCCCATGCATCCATATATATATAATTTAATTCAATAACTTCATTTTTATTACCATGATTAATTTATTAGTTTGTCTCATGATTGTGCTAGGGAATGATGATTGTATACAAAAGAGGTGGAGAGACATTCTACCTCCGTACTTACATTCAAAATGAAGTAACTTATAACATAACTCAGGATTACAACCTGAAAACTATTGTGATATTCACTATGGAGTAAGTCAGAGCAGGGCATAGTCTGCTTTCTATGGTTATCAGGAGAGTGAATTTGTTATAAAAGCTCATTTGGCTCCCACTTTTCTCACCCTCTCTTCCCTTCAACCTTTTACCATGGAATGATGCAGCCCATGATGGCCCTCACTAAATGCTGGCCCCTCAACCTTAGACTTCCTCAGCCTCTAGAACTATGAGAAACATATTTCTTTTCTTCATGTAAAACCAGTCTCTGGTATTCTATTACAGCAGCACAAATGGGCTAAGATAGAAAATCCAATCTGTTTACAGAAAAACTATAATGGCTCAATTAATTCAGCATATCACTTAGTAGAAATCAGTTAAGAGACTTTAACTACATATTGCTTTGTTTTCCTCTTAAGGATTTAAAAAATATGCTGGGCATGGTAGAATACACCTATAATCCCTACTACTTAAAAGGCTCCAATAGGAGGATCACAAATTCAAGGCCAGTCTGGGAAACTTCATGAGACCCTGTTTGAAAATAAATAATTTTAGGGGCCTAGGGATGTAGCTCAGCAGCAGAGTGCTTGCTTAGAATATGTAAAGCCCTGGGTTTGATCCCCAGTACCCCCCCCCCACCAATTTTTTTTTTTAATAATCAAAGGAAGAAAAGTCTGCTAACCACTAAAAAAATTATTAAGTCCAAAAATCTTCCAGAAAGAAAAAAAGGGCAGCATATTCATGCCAACAAAACTGTAATCTAAACAGTGGAGTGCAATGTCTTCATAGTTTTAAAATAAAGTTATTTTGAAGTAGTTTAATGTATCCAGTCTAGGTAACAGTTAACTCCAAGGGCAAAATAAAGACTATTTTCTGCATGTAAGGAAAAAAAACTTAGATAAAACTTGGGAAGGGCAGGGGTTGTAGCTCAGTGGCAGAGTGCTTGCCTAGCATATGTGAGGCACTGGGTTTGATCCTCAGCACTACATGAAAATAAATAAAATAAAGGTATTGTGTCTACCTACAACTAAAAAAATTTAAAAAAAAAAACAACTTGTGGTGCTGGGGTTTTGGCTCAGTGGTAGAGCACTCCCCTCACACGTGTGAGACCCTGGGTTCAATCCTCAGCACCACATAAAAATAAATAAGTGAAATAAAGGTATTGTGCCCAACTACAGCTAAACAATAAATTTTAAAAAAACTTTGAAAATATTGGATCTCATTTTTTTAACATGCATTTAGACCCAATAGGCATCTTCAAAGTTAGATTCATACGAAGGTGGTAATGCCATAAATGGTTAGCATGCCTCTGGTTGTAATTTTTTTTTTTGTGGGGGGAACTTTACCACTGAGCCACATCCCCAGCCCTATTTTGTATTTATTTAGAGACAGGGTCTCACTGAGTTGCTTAGCACCTCGCTTTTGCTGAGGCTGACTTTGAACTCACGATCCTCCTGCCTCAGCCTCCCGAGCCACTGGGATTACAGGCGTGCACCACTGCGCTTGGCTGTGTCTCTGGTTATAACTGTGTTTTGATTTGATAGTAAAGATTCTGGGAATAAATTTTTTGAAGCATTTTTTTTTTTGTTTTTTGTTTTTTAGTTGTAGTTGGACACAATACCTTTATTTTATTTATTTTTATGTAGTGTTGGGGATTGAATCCAGGGCCTCACACGTGCTAGGTGAGCACTCTACCGCTGAGCCACAACCCCGGCCCTAAGCATGTAGTTTAATAGCTTAGCCTTCTATAATTTCACAATTGCCAAAATTAGATATCAAGACTCAGTGGATTAGACCAAGATAAGTTATGTATTCTGCCTCTGGCCCTCTAAATTCATGTCCTTGCATACAGAATATATTCATTTCATCCCAGTATTCTCCACAGTTTTAACTCATTTCAGCATCAGCTTAAAAGTCCAAATTCAGTGCCTCATCTAAATAATTCAGACATGAGTGAAACTCAAGGTATAGGTCATCTTGTGACAAATTTCTCTTCAATTTTGAACCTATGAAACCAAATGAGTTATGTGCTCCTGAATATAACAGTCTGACAGACACAGGATAGGCATTCCCATTCCAAAAGGAGGAAGAAAGGAGTGATAAGTCCCCAAGCAAGCCTAAAACTCAACAGGTCAAATTCCATTAGAATTTGAATCTCAAGATCCAACCAGTTATATTCCATTAGTATTCCTAATGCTTGAGAATAATACTCTTGATACTCTACAAGTCTGCTGGGGCACAAGTCATGCCTTTTGGACACAGTTTAGCTGGGGTCTTGGCTTTCTAACCAACTAGGACAGAGGTTCCAATTTTCCTGACCCACTGGGATGGTGGGTCCTGCTCCTGAAGCTTTGCCAGGCTCCCAGGGCCTCCAGTGGCCCTAATGCTTATGGCTTTGGGTGATCCTGTCCTAGTGGTGGCTGTGTGTCTCTTTCCTCTGCTTAGGGCCCATAGGCTTGGTTCCTGAGCATACAATTCTGCTGAGAGGCTCTGTCCTTTGAAATCCATGTAGAAGCAACCACACCTGTATAGATTTGCTAAGTGCTACAGCAAGGCTTGCTGGAACCGCACCCAGGATGACTGCAAAATAAGGAGCACTGAGCAGGATGAGGTCCCATAGGCCCCTCTTTGGAAAACTGCTCTATCCCCAGAGCCCTAGGGTTGTGATGAAAAAGGGTAACCCTAATGATTTCTGAATTGCCTTTGGAGTTATTTTTCCTTTTTCTTGGAAAATAGTACCCAATCCTTTTTATTTTTTTTTTATTATGAGATGGTTCATCCATATTAGTCTCCTTATGATATGGTTTCTGGCCACAACCTTAATGTTCTTTTTTTTCTTTTAGAAAGAGACAGAGAGAGAGAGAGAATTTTTAATATTTATTTTTTAGTTTTCGGCTGTACAGCATCTTTATTTGTATGTGGTGCCGAGGATTGAACCCAGTGCCATGCGCATGCTAGGCAAGCGCACTACCACTTGAGCCACATCCCCAGCACCTTAATGTTCTTTTTTAAAATATATATGTATGTGTGTGTGTGTGTGTGTGTATTTTTTTTTTAGTTGTAGTTGGATACAATACCTTTATTTTATTTATTTTTATGTGGTGCTGAGGATCGAACCCAGCGCCTCGCACATGCTAATAAGCAAGTGCTCTACCGCTGAGCCACAACCCCAGCCCCAACCTTAATGTTCTTTCCAAACAAACTTTCTCATTTTTCTTCAATATGGATAGGCTGAATTTGTGACAAATTTCTCTTTACATTCTGCTTCCCTTTGATGAATAATACTATCTATTGTTCCAATTTTAGTGTATATGCTGCCAAAGCAAATGCCACAGTTCCATCTTTTTAAATCATTTCTCTTCCTTGCATTTTACTATAAGCAATTAAGAAGAACCAGCCTGCTCCTTTAGATAGTTCCTCCTCAGCCAAATATCCATGGCAGAGCGGGAGTGGGGAGGTACTGGGGTTTATTTTATTTTATTATGAGACAGGGTCTCATTAAGTTGCTTAGGGTCTCACTAAATTGCTGAGGCTGACTTTGAACTCACATTCCTCCTGCCTCAGCCTCCCAAGCCGCTGGAATTACAGGTGTGTGCCACTGTGCCCAGCTTGGTACCAGTTTTCTGATTTAGTCCACTCAGTCTACTATAACCATAGACAGTATGGCTTATAAATAACAGAGGTTTATTTCTCACAGTTCTGGAGGCAGGAAAGTCTAAGATCTAGGTGTTGGCATATTTGGTGTCTGAGTGAGGACCTGCTTCCTGGTTTATAGGCAGCTGCCTTTATCTTTTTTTTTGCCATAACTTCACATGGTGAAAGGGAAAAGCAACTCTCTGTGGCCTCTTTTATAAGGGCAGTAAACCCATTAAAGAGGGCTCTGTGGTCATGTACTATTCACTTCCCAGAGGTTCCACCTTCCAGTACTATCACACTGGGGATTAGGTTTCAACATGTGAATTTTGGGAGGACACAAACATTCAATCCATTGCACTTAGCAAGGACAGGCAGGTATGTTTGAGTTTCATGTTGTCTACCTCCCCAAACAATCAATCCTTAAAGATTAGATGCAGTGAAGTTCACAGAAATGGTTATTCAGTTCATTAGGGTTATTATCAACAGATTCCCATTGCAGGATGTGGGCTATTGTGCAGCATTGCTGTCAGCCATCCCTTTGAAATATCCAAATTCAGCCAAGTGAGTAAGTAATAGGTC